AAGTATGGACACCGTCCTGCATTCGAATCCTTTTCAATGCATAGATGAATCATAAAAAGGGGGACAGAAGGTTGTCGTTAGGCCTATTGAGAGTATTAGAATAGAATTTTCGCAAAAGTCACATGACTTTGTGTATATAAAAGCAGTGGGAATTTGTTGTTATTGTACAGAAACTTTTTGCAATGGCAACAATGAAAGCAATGATTTGTAATGGATATGGAGCTGCAAAGGATGTATTTGAATTGAAAACTGTATCAAAACCTGTACCAAGGGATAATGAAATCCTAGTAAAAATACACGCTACAATGACAACTTCTGGAGATTGTAAACTTAGGGGTTATAAAGAGATTCCAGCTTCGTTATGGTTACCAGCAAGACTTTCATTGGGTTTGTTTAGACCAAAAAATCCTATTTGGGGTTTGTGTTTTGCTGGAGAAGTTGAAACAGTTGGAAAAAAAGTTGAATTATTCAAGAAAGGTGATCAAGTGTTTGGTTCACCTGAATCAGCTTTTGGAGCATATGCTCAATTTATTTGCTTACCAGAAACTGGTTGCATTGTTCAGAAACCAAAAAACTTGTCATACAAAGAATCTGTTTCAATTCTTTTTGGTACAGAGACAGCTATTCAATTTTTAGAAAGAGCCAAAATTCAAAGAGGTCAAAAAGTCCTTGTCTACGGAGCATCTGGAAGTGTTGGTGTTGCTACTGTCCAAATGGCCAAGTACTACGGTGCTACTGTTACAGGAGTTTGTAGTACTAAAAACCTTGAAATGGTTAAATCGATGGGAGCTGATTACGTAATAGATTATACGAAGAAAAATTTTAGAGGAAATGGTGAAAAATATGATATTATCTTTGATACTGTTGGGAAATTGTCATATTCTTCTTGTAAAAATTCACTAAATCCAACAGGTTATTATCTAATGGCTCTATTCTCATTAACAGGAATACTTCACCAATTATGGCGATCCATAATTGGTGGTCCCAACATCATTTGCAGGATATGCGGAGCAGAAATAGACGTTTTTCATAAGCTAAGGGAACTGGCTGAATCAGGAGAAATAACACCAGTTATTGACCGAACTTACTCATTGCAGGAGATAGCTGACGCTCATATCTACGTGGAAACTGGGCGAAAAAAGGGAAACGTTGTCATTGAAGTAAATCATGATGAATAATTTGAATAATTTACTATAAATGTATTGTAAAATAGTTGGATTATCCCGATTTTTCCATGAATAATTATGTGTATTTTCTTTCAACTCTCTATTCTAAAGAGTTGATTGGTTTTGTCTCTTCAATCTTCGTATTCCATTAATTGCAATTGTATAAAAGATGAAATATATTTTAAATCTTGAATTTTAGTTTCGTCCTTAATATCTTGAATTGCATGATTTGATTTATTATCCTCTCTATAGTCAATTGTCTCATACAAATTCATTTTAACTATGCAAACTGATAGACGCTTGCAGTTAAATTTCTCATAACTGCACTGACCATTAAGGCAAGTCCTTAAGCAGTAGGCTAACATTAGACTAAAAATCGTAATTAAAATATTTCTAATCAACCAACTAACCATTCGCTACAAATTTCCTTTTCTAATTGAACTCATTTTATTATATTATCAGCAGTAAGAGATTTGTTCCTACCGCAATCTTCCTCGTCACTCTTATCGTTACAATCGTTAATGAAATCGCAAACAAGTTGTAAGCCAATAGTTTGCTTTTTATCGGAGCATTGAAAACTATCTTTTTGAAATGTTAAACAATTCAATTCGTCGGTTTTATCAAAACAGTTTGCTGATCCGTCGCAGACAAACTTTCTACTAATAAAATATCCGTCACTAATACATTGAAATAAATTCAAATCAATTAAAGCGAATAGATTATCTCGCTCATTCAAAATTTCAAATACAACTGGTTGATTGGTTGGAGGAGAAGGATATTCTATTTAGGCATTGAGGAAGAAAATTAGAGATTATCTCATTCATTCATTCATTCTCTCTTACATTTTGTTGTAATTTTCCTTTGCAGATGATATATTCAAAAAGGCTACCATTGCAGGAGAAGAAAGCGTAATATCCGTAATTGTCGTATTGTCTCACATAGCCGCAATCGTAATAGAATGCAGGATCTCTAGGAATTCTATAGAAATAGGATTATAGTCTTTCCTCAAGTCAACATAGATAGATAGATAGATAGATAGATAAACAAACAAACATTTTTCTATTGAACCTGTTGTCCCACTATATCCATAGGTACAATATTGTTATTGAGAAACATACCAATACTTAAATTATACCAAATCCTATCATTAACACACGTCAACAAAATGGCCGACTTTAGCTAATTTTGTAAACAAACAAACTGACAATATTTGAAAATGGATACCAAACATTACCGCAATTAAACTCTAATCTTCCAATAAAACTATGATAATGATTGGATTGGTGATATCTAGTTAAAATTCCTTTACCATCTCCTCTTAATCTTAGATTAGCATCTATCAATAATAATCATAAATATTTAAAAACCTCGATTGTAGATTTTGCACTGACTGCTTAACGATTCTACTGGAATTTTTGGTATTTTTCTTTCATTGCCAGAATAAATATCTTAAACTCCACTTACTCCAGCTGTCACATAATTCAAAAAAACCATTAATGCTGTAAAATAGTAAAACTGTTAACTAATTTAAAATAATGCAATAAAGTATTCAGTATAAATCATTCATAAAATTTGACAAAATGACATATCATGATAGAAGGATCAGAACAAACATAAATGCTTGTTAAATCTTCACTCAGTATAATACAAGCCAGAATAATCTATATATATAATATGTATATATATAAAAGCTTAATAAATAGGGTAAACAGTAATTGTGTAAAGCAAAACTGTAATTTAGTTGTTAATTCCCAGTGATATATATAATTTGCAATTACTTGGTGTCTTGCAACATTTTTACAGTTTTTCCCACAGTTAATGCTATCTCAAGTCAAAATATGTGAAAATAACTTAAATAGATTTGTTCCCTATAATCACCTTATCACAAAAACAGCAGATAAGAAACATTCTCACAAAACTAATGATATATGCATGATATACAAACACATTCCATCAGTTTCATCAAGCTTCTCTAAATAACTTTCAATGTTTACAAGAACTGCATAGTGCTTTTGAACTTTAACTATCCATGGTTCCATTTTGCTGATAAATATCAAATGAATTCTTTCCAAATTTAAAATGATTTATATAGGCCTATAACATTTAGCTGAAAAGAGAAATTTTCTACAAATTAAAATTATAAAATTAATTTTGTCATACCCTACTTAGCTTGTTTACACATTTCCTTGACAAAGCAACCCTTAAATAGGCACTTGTTTGATCAATTGTTTTTAAAGAACTGGCATGTATTTAATTCTTTAAATGGCATTTCTCCATTGAATAAAAGAGGTTTTGAAACAGTCAATACTGTCTATATATACTAGTTATTTGTTCATTATAACATTCGTCACTATTAAGTGAAGATCATACTGTTGTGCTGGTAAGTTACAGTTTTGAACTGTTTTAGCAAAAAATTCTGTTACAAGTGTTTAATTGTTATGTGTTAATTTCAGAAAAGTTCCACTCCTACTATGGCTGCTCTAAAGACAAAAACAATTACATTCAAGGTAGTACTTATAAATTAAAAAGTTATCTAGAAAAATTTCACTAAATTTTCATTTCTTTTCTATGAATTTACCATTCCATAACAGCTTCCTGTGAAGAATTTGATAGATGTAAGATGATAGTATTTATACAGTTTCCTTCTTATTAATCCATCTTCTTTGCATTCTTTAATGGATTCGAATAGACAATTCTGGAACACTTTCTCTTTCAATCCTTTTCTTAGAAAAATCCAATTGAGTGATTTCTGGTTGATTCCTTACTTTTTAGTTTTGAATTAACCATTGTAATATTTGTATTTTTTGGATTGATTTCTTCCATTTTGCACACTAAATTGATCAAGAGCATTAAAGGTTAATTGAATTATCTATTCCTGTATATTATATTTATAGAGATATATAATGTTAGGAATAGGTGCAATTAAAAAAAGAGTGATTTTCCAACAATTTTTTATATTAATATCTTTTAAAAGTTAATTTAGAAGAAGAAAGAAATAGCAAATAATTTTATTTGTAGGACATTAGAAAAATTCTTGGCTGTATCTAGCAAGAAATATAAAAGATTACATTGTAAGATTGTGAATCTTTTACGATAATAGGTTAAAAGTTGTAAATTGATAAATAGTAGGTTAAAATATAAGCCTTGGAAATAGCTGTGAAACATTAAAAAGATTAAATTTCTCTAATTGTAATTTGAATGATGATAATTTAAAGAGTCTTGGAAATCTGTTGGAAAAATGTTCAAATTTTGAAGAAATTGATTTGGGATATAACCGAAAAGTTGAAAAGGGATTTGATGTAATATTCAAATCACTTGAACATTCATTTAAAACATTGAAAACGTTAGGTTTCAATAATTTCATTATACCTAGAGAAAGAATGCCCCCTCTTGAGTGGTTTTTTACAGGATCTTCCACTCTTGAAAAATTTGATTTTGGATGTTATCCATTATTATTTGATGGCTTAACCTGAAAGAGTTTCTCAACTACTAATTTAGTGAATACACTAAATATATGTTAAAGAACAGAGGAAATTAATTTGGGAAACATTCCAAAAACATATGGTGATTTGAAAAAAATCACAAAAAAGCTAGAAAGATGAAGGTATGCTTTAAAACATATTACATTTGGAAATATGAATATTCAAGCTAGTAAAAATGTTGAACGCTTATTAAAAAATTGTTATAGAATTGAGACACTATCTTTAGAATAGAATGGATTGCTTCGAACTGGTTGCATGTCTATTTGTGATAGTCTACATAAATTATTAAGATCTATAAAATATGTTGAATTCGGATATAACAGAAAATTTCCCCAAATGCATGTTTTAATCCTAACCCTAACCTAGCCCTTGTCTCTCCCTAACCTTTTTGATTACTCCTAACCCTTTGATGAAACCCCCGTAACTATAAATCAACAGCTACTTTACTCCTCCTAACTATTTTCCAATAATGTTGCTTTCAAAAATCTCACTTAGGGACATTTTCTATCAGCCCCATTGAATTCAGATGTCATGTTTTTAATAAAAATACTCATAAAAGCATTAAAAGTGTGTTTGAAAAAGATATTATTCATATTACGCAATAATACACTTTTGCATTATGGTTTTGTTGATTAGGAAGCTTTGCTTGATAATTTTTCCATTAATATGTAGTTCTAAAATGATTTCTCCACATATCCCAATGCTGTTACCTGAAGCAGCTCTAGCATTTTAGGTTCTGGGAAGAATGATTTTCCTTGATTATGTTTTAACACCTTTTAAGACCTGTCACTATCAGAGTCTATTAAGGCATCAAATTTGAAACCAGTATTAGTTTCCAACTGTCCAATAAGTGTTGAAGAATTTCTCTCTATTTGTTTACTTTGTGAAAGCTGACATATGGATGCTTCATTTTCTGAAAAACAGAAAATATCTTGCACTTTATCATTTTCAGACATACTGTCATTTTCCTGTGTTTCCAATTTTTGTAGCTTAGGTTCCTCCTTCAAGACCAACTTTGCTTGTTGATTTTTCTTAAAATACCTATTTTTAGGAGGTGATGCATACTTTTGGAATTTTGGCTTTGATCACTTTTCTTTCCTAAGATTTTTGTAGTCAAGCAAATGCTTTCTATTCCAAAAAATTGCAGTTTCAGTGGAAGCATCTTTGTTAGTCACTTTTGTCTTTTTGGGCTCTTGTTTTTTGAGCAATTGTAATTGGTTTTCTCTGGTTCAATTTTAATGAGACTTCTGCATTTTTCACAGCTTCATATAATTCTGCCAATGTCTGGCATCTAGGATGTAGGGTGTTTACTAAATGGTTAACATCCTCTTATAATCTTCTTTTGTAAAACTTCAATCGGTTTCATTTCTTTCATTGTTACAATCAATTGTGGATTTATTCATGTAGTTGGAGAACTTCTTTGTTAATTGCTTTACTCTGTTAGCAAACTAAACTACACTTTCTCCACTATTTGTTTTAATGTATACAGCTCCTCCTGATACTCCCTTGGACCAAGATCAAATTTGTCACTGAGGGCTTTCCATATTTCCTCTAGAGTAGGCTCTTCATCAGATGTTGAGACATCCATCACACCATTATAATGAAAAGTGTTATTAGTAAACTTGAGTATCTTTAATTGTTTTTGTGTCAAAATAAATTTGTACATTGACATTTTTTTTTCAGAAGAATTATAACAAAAAAGTTTTTATTTTTTTATTTTTTCAAAGTAATATCAATTAGTAAATCTGGATTTCTCAGCAGCTTAGTCCGTGGCCTATCGCTTGAACATCCAGCATGAATTTTGACAAACTTAATGCTGTTGAATCTTTTTGTAAATTAATAAACTTGATCAAATATTCAGTGATGTCATGAATATGTAATGCAAGCTTCTTCAAGTATGTTATATAAATTAACTTCTTTGAAAAAATTCATACAAATCCTCATTTGTGTAGTTTAGATTGATAGAAAGAACATCAATGGGTCATTAAATAGTATTCTAAACAAATTATTACAAATTCGCATTGATGAGATTACTGTTAATTTTTATTCGAAATAGTCAGAAAATAATCAATAAATCCAAAAAGCATCTTTCAAATTGGTAATTATTTTATTCTTTCCAGCCATTTTACAATCCAAAATCTATCCTTCAAATATCTGTCAACCCCATAAGCTATTCTCTCTCTATTACAATAGAAAATAGAAAAGCATAGGCTAGAAGAGAAATACAATCAAACTTCCACTTGTACAATAAGTCTCTTAACCTTGTCAAACAATTTAGTACTTTACCTTGAAGAATCCCAGGTACCATTTAAATTATAAAAGAGAGAAAGGGTTGGGAGAGAGAGGAATGAAAAACTATAACAAAAGGGTATTATAAATAGGAATAAAATATGAATCAGATGTCAAAGCATAGTGTTTTGTATTAAAATTCTTTGAATATGAATTATAAAAAATGAACCAAAAAAAAAACCTTTTACTAAATAAAGTCTTCTCTTGTCTTTTATTGATTTCTTTTGTCCATCAACCTTTGAAAGAAATATTGCTTTTTACAACAATAGAAAATCATGTTTTTATTATCAAGGTCAAAGGTCATAAACTTTAAGAAAGTTTTTGAAAAAACATTGTAAAATTATTATTGTTTTATAATTGCCATTGTTTTTGCCTTAATTTTTAATAATTAACAAAGGTAAGTAGTTGTCATTATTTAGATGAAGTGTAATATATTCATGTTTATCAGTGCATTTTTCTTTGTATTTATTTAGAAGTTTGTCAGGGTTAAAACTGAAAAGTTTTTGTAAAGAGAACTACAAGATACACATAGTTAAATATTTTCTCACACTAAAGATTGACACATATAAAAATAGATATCAAAACTAATAAAAAGAAAGAATTTTAAACCAAAATATTTGAACAAGATTCATAGAATTTCTTTATTAAATATTTTAGTTTAATAGTTTTTGGCAGTTTGCCAAAAATGCTAATTGTTCTTAAAATTTACCTCCCTTAAGTATTTAGATATATTACAGAATTTTACTTAGGATGGTAGAAGAATAAATAACAAAGAATATTTACTTCTCAGTGTAAAATACAAGATGAAACACTTTTACGAATACTCATAATAGTTTTTAAAATAGTTTGTTTGATATAAAAGTGTTGAAACTTCACAAATATGTTGATTATGTTGAAAATGAATCATCTCTTTATTGATCAATAATTGATCAATTCTTCCTATTTCACAAAAATAATCGCAAATAAATATTGGACTATGAATAGTAAATTCCTTATTAATCCATTTACAAGCTCTAAATGCTTTTGTTCCACAAGCACTCGCCTCTCTCTTATAAACATTGTATTCATGGCAATTGATTATCTTTCCATGATTTTTAAACCAAATTGAAACTTTCATCGAACTATTCACAATTTGATGAATAGAAATTACATTTAAATGAATGTTGTTTGAGCAAGTTGACATATCATTGTCAACAATAACGTCATTAGACGATGATTTAGATTTTATGAATGATACATGTACTAATTTGCCAATGCTAATGGTAATAAAATCTGCTTTATCATCATTATATTTCTTCCTAACACACAACTCCACAATTGGAAAATAATTTGAAGTTTGGTGAGGAATATAACCATTTTTACTATTACCTTTATTTTTACAAGAACAATTCTTGTACCTTTCAAAACATGGAGAGTTGTCATAGAGAAATGTATAATTCCTATTATTACTGAAATGTAACATGACCATAGTATTATCACTTTCACCTTCAGTACACCTTACATCAACTTTTTGATAACGAATATGAGCATTGAACTCATTCAATCTTTCTGACGTAATGTAATTATCCCTGAGCAGAAAAATGATGTTCATTGTACTTTGTTGTATTGTAATTGTAGGAATTTCTGGTTCGTCACAACTGTAATCGTCCTTTCCAATCATTTACCAACTTGCCAAAGTACTGGTCCAAATAGAACCTTTAAAGTTTGTCCACAAATAGTCTAACAAAGGCAATTTCGGTAGAAATTGATTAACAAAACACCAGTATTTCGTCCAAAGAATATGTATTGAGTAAAATGAGCTTCTAGTTCTAAACAAGCTAGTTTAAACAACTAGCTGACGGTTAGAAAACTGAACTATCAACTGTTAATTTCGTAGGGTTTATATACTCTTTTAAGGGTTGATAGTTCACAAATTTCAATGTTCACAAAAACAAAAGTAACATTTGAAGACAAAGAAAAGTTCTAAATATGGTCATGTTTTTATTGTTTTCCTCTTCTAAATAATAGTTGAATTTCGAAGGTTGGAGAGTTGCATAAGATGTAACAATTTTAGTAGGACAAGTCGAACAATGAAGAAAACATGTAGATTGTATATTTGACCGTTTTTATATTCTACCTTAATAATGATATTCAATTGATTGAGTTAGTAAATTTAGCATCAGCATATAAGGAGGAAGTATATCTGATTAATGCATGTTAAAAAGAACAGTATTGTGTATACAATACTGTTGAATAGTGAATATAATCTAACCTTAGAATTTAAGCATAATTGATAATTAATTGAACTAGTTTTAGTTCGAAATCATAAATTTATGGATTAATAAATTGTAATATTAATGCTAGGTTGCAAATAGCAAATATTCTTTATATAATTCAATAGGTTTTATTACTGCATAATGTGTATGCACTGCCCTATGCGAAACTAGGTCACTACTGCTTATCTTTATCAGTGCTATCTGCATAGTACAATACTGGTTCAATACTACTTCTCTATTGTAGAATATAGCTGACGAATGTATGTGTACATTCATTAATGAATAAGAGTATAATAAAAACTTAACTTACACTTTTGGATCAAATTTCATTCCAGTATCGCAAGAATCAGTTTTTGTAGGTGTATATTTAAAAAATTTCCCATAAACAGAATGTATTATATCAGTTGCTATTAATTTGGTGCTTGGTTTCTTTAAACAGTGAAAAGTTTTCATTTTTGGCAAATAACTGAAAGCTTTTATTTCATATATTCCATAGAATTTTCTATTTTCCTTATTGATAACAAATTTCAGCCATTTTGTTTCTAGTTTTGCAAAAATTTTTGTCCAATTTGATGTCTTGTTAACATCTATATTTATTAGAGTGTCTTTACTCAATAGAGTAACAACATCAATCTCATTTTCCAAAGGTTGATTGATGTTAATTTCTTGTATAATATACTTTTTAAAAGTTTCAACTTTTATAAAAGATATTAAATCATTGTCATTTGGTTTCCATATTTCATTAAAATTTTGTATAGTATCTTCAAAAATTGCTCTACAATTGCCACTTGACGCTGTGCAAATGGATCCAGTTTCTACTTTTGCAACATTTTCATACTCTGAATCAAACATATTCATCATAAAAACAAATTCACCGTCATTATGCTGAGCATCTTTATACCATTCAACGCAAGACGAATATGCTTTTACCGTAGCTAATATTTGAATTTCAGCAATTTCCAGATTATCGTAGGTTGATTCATTCACAGATAGGATCATTTCTAAACTAGGCGAAGGGCTTGTAAGTTGAATTTCATTCCATCCTTGCACGAAATAGTGATAGTATTCACTTATTGTTCCATTAATATCATAAACTTCCAATTTTAAAGTTTCGCTTTCACTTCTTAACTTAAAAATTCGAACTTTTTCATATTTGACAGTACGAGTAACGTGTTGGTAAAATCTTAGTTTAACATCTGAAATATTATACTTTATCACATGAGTTTGGTAAGAAAGCATAGTTCCATCTGTTAGACGATAGTGTTGAAATCCTGTATGGGCTGCAGGAATTTGATATCTACCTTGATATCTCTCTTCTACAGCATTAATATAGCGTTCAAAATAAGCGTCACAAGTAAACCAAAATATGTTAAACATCCATATCAATATCATCGTAATCTTTAATTTTAAGGTTACGTTTGCAAAAAGAAAACTTTCCAAAGAAAATACGTTACTGTCAATTTTTTGAATTTCAAAATAAAGTATGGAATACAAATATTTTTTTATATAACAAGACATTGTATTAATACATTTATATTATTTCTCTCTATTATTCATGTTTTCTATTCATGCAGTCACTCACAGTTAAAACTGTTTCACAATGTATTCAGGAGATCACACAATTGAAAATTAAAAACTCTTTTGCTGACTTGCACACAAAAAATGAGACTACCAATGAAATAACACGGAAAAATTCTTCAGCACTGTCACAATATACAACAAATATCTTTAAACGCAAGTTATTCTCATAAGCATTTTAATCTAAATGAAAGAAATGTGAAAATCTTGTACAAGCATTGAAACTTTGCTCTTTATTAGAATATATACATTCATCAGGCAATCAAACTGTGGAAAATGAATTTAAATTGAATTTTCCTTTCTAAAAATAGAGAGAAGGGAGTATTAAAAAGATGGATAGACAGAGAGAGAGAGGGAGAGAGAGAGAGAAACCTAAAAATCTTTGACATTTAAATGAACTACTCTTTCTCTTACAAGAAATAATTTCAGCATAAAGATGAACCAGTCTAAAAGAATATTTAAATTGACTAGAAGCATTTGGATTTCAAATATCTAATTGAAAAAGAAAATGTTACTTACTAAACCTTGGATCTTTTATTAGCTAATTTGCATATATTGATATTTTTAAGAGGCTGTATTACAAACAAGGCTAAATCTAGGTTAAAATTACAACACCAAAAAATTTGAGGTGCATCATACCAAATTCAACATTTAGACTAGAGACAAATAGTACAGTTTGAATATAACAAAAAAGATGCATGAAAAAAAACCATTTCTCATGTAGTTTATGTAAAACTGGTAGTGTCTATTTCCTGTTTAGGCAATAGGATTATATTTAGATATTTGCACAACAACTATATTATGGAATAGTAGAATGATAGCTAACAATAGTATTTTTATTAAAAAGATGTCTAAATGTTAAAAAATGAATGAAAGTAGGAATTTAATGTCTAAAAGAAGGAAAGATAAAGATATAAACGACAGTATTAAAAAAACTATTGAAATTTGCTAACCACTTGAAGGAACTGTAAGACTGCAAACCAGATTTGTATTTCAGTTAAAAAATAGTTGCTTCCTTATCCACCCGACTGGTGTGTACTGCAAACTGAAATAATTCTATTTATAATATCTATTTATATTTCAAAATAATATTTTTTATCCGATATAGGCCTACTTTATGTAATTTTTATTTTTTTTATTTTTTAATAAAACAAACTCTTAATTCATTCAGACTGCTTAAGAGAAAAGCCTCTTGTTCAATGAAAGGGTCAAGGTTGAAAGAAAATTTCCAAGTAGGCCTGATATTCTAAAGAACCAGAAAAATCCTCTTACAATACAGAAACCTAGCAAACTTGAACAGCTATGAAAAGGAGTAGATAGCAGCCTACAGATTATGCAGTAAGGGTAACCTATTTTTGAACACCCAGCTTTTTTCTATATTAGTTAAAATATTTTTTCTTTAACATTAATTTTACAATCCAACAATTAGACATGGCAATTGTGACTTTGTAATCAATATATTCAATTAATTAAATCTTTGTATTTTACTGTTTAAATAACAAAAAATTTTTTATTATGAAAAAATTGTGAAAAGTACCCAATATCCTATTTTTGAACAATAATTAAAAATTTACGAAAATGACCAAATTTTTTTGCTTTCCCACATGAAAATTTATGTCAAGAATCAAAGTAGGATAACAATTTTAAAAAAGTTAAAAATGCCAAAAATAAGCTTGGACATGAGAAAATTAGTATTGGAAAAGAGGAAGGAGAAGATGTCAATGAATGAAATCGCAAAACAATTAAAGATTTCAAAGGGATCTGTCCATTACATAACAAAAAAAATTGAGAAACATGGAACTATTAACAATCTATTGAAACTATGTACCCCAAAGATTTGAACAGAAAGGGAAGAGAGAAAAATTTGCCAAATTTCAAAGAGAAATCCATTTCTAATGGCAAGGAATGTGCTTGAACATTCAGGATTAGGTTCCAAAATTTCTCTATTGACATGCAAAAAGATTTTGCAAAAAAACGACCTTAAAGGCTATGTTGCAACAAGTAAGCCAGCGCTAAAACCTTGCCATGCAAGAAATAGAAAATCTTTTTGTTTGTCTATGTTAAATAAGAGTCAAGAAGATGTAAACAAAATTATATTTTCCAATGAAAGTCGGATTGAATTGTATCCAAAAAGGAGAATTTGTGTCCATAGGGGGAGTCATAAATGGTATGATCCAAAATACACCAAAAAAGCTGTTTGAACAGCAAATTCGTCAATATCAATATGGGGGTGTATAAAAGCTGATGGGACAAGAGCTATAAAGTTATATAATGGGTATATGGACAGCAATTTATACCAAGAAATAATTGAGGAGAAGCTATTTCCAATGTTTGAGCCAGGCAACCTGCTTATGCAGGATGGTGCCAAATGTCATACATCGGCATCTACAAGGACATTTCTTGAGAGAAGCAATATAGCAGTTTTACAAGACTGGCCATCCAGAAGCCCAGAATTAAACATTATTGAAAATTTGTGGGCTTACTTAAAAAATAATAAAAGATTTCTTCATTTCTACCAGTTTTTGTAAGTTTTCAGTTAATTTGTTTTTCAAAATATATTTACATTTAAATGAAATTTATTTTAATTTATGTGTTCTTTTGGTTCATGGACATTTTCTTTTAGGACGTTTTCTTAAATGGACATTTTCTGTCGCATCCAGGAGGTGGCTGTGAAGGCAGCCAAATACATGGCAAAGCCATACCTACACAACCATAACCCACCAAAAATGGCAGACATTATGGGCACTAGTAGAAAAGGTGGTGAATGGCAAACCACTGCATCAGCCCCAGGATAACCCTGACCAGCTATTAATGACACCCAATTCTATATATAACATATGAAGAAAGCTAAGGTGAACCGAGGGAAGATGGAAAAAGAAATGATGCAAGATAGAGAGGCAATGGCAAAAAATTTGCATCCAAGAGCAATACCAGTTGCCAGTAAATCTGATAGTCCTTAATATCAATGTTGCAGCTCCAAAAGTAAAGCCAACTTTGCAGATGAAATTCAGCAGTGACCTATTATGGATCATTTATCTTTTTATAATAGAATTAAATTTCCCTGTGTATTCAATAAAATGAAAATGAAAGTAGCTACCAAAGGTGATAGGTATCACATTATGAACATTATGATTAAAACTAACAACATATTCTTTCTCTTAAACATAATTGCAGTTTTCCAGTACAGAATATTTCAATCGAAAACTAACATTTTCTATACTATTTTCAATAATGTGTGGAAAAAACCCCAGTCTTCTTTGGAGGGTATACTACAATGCTATTTACCATAATTGATTGTGGCCTATGCATTACAGTAAACATTTTGGCAATTTTAATATTTTTTTTGGATTATATGAGTCATTTCTTTAGATTTTCTAAATATTCTCAACCATGAATATTTGTTTCAACCTTGATCCAGTTTTTTACCAAGATATTTATCAATATTTATTCAAAATATACAAATCTTTATATAGATAAGCACATTGATCAGTCTCCATTGAAATCCAGTCTTATAAATAAACTGTAGCAACAAAAGAAACACTCTTTTATTATTATCAATCAACAAGCATATCTTCAAAATATATATTCTTTTTACATGTTATATTTAGTTTTTCTATTCAAAATTTTTGAAAGTTTTAACCTGAAAAACTCCTAAGGAATATGTTAACTTCAAAGAATAAAGCTCAACTGTCTTTTTATTACACAAAAGGTATATTGAGAATATTTTTCTATTCTATTCATTGGAAAAGGAAAATAAATCTCAATGAACTCCAATATAGACTTTACTTTTTTTTATATTTTCTTCACACCAATGAATTTGAAAGGGAAAGGGACAACTGAATACTGCAAAAGAAAGAATAGGCTTCAAATTAAAGAAGTAATCAGCAATGAGTTGATATTGTACTGCTCTTGCTGGCAAAATTTATGCGTTTGCAAGTTATAACAATACTGCTTCTACTCGAACCTTTAAACAAATGTTTAAATTAAAATGATTTATTTGCAAATAATAATACTTAAGCAAGTAACAATATGAGAGTTTGATAGCAGAGTGGATAGTTCGTAATAGCAGGTTGCCAAATTACCAAACTGTCTTCCTATGTTGAGGAGTAGGTGGATGGTTCCAGTGGAGGTTGTTTCCACGTTATCTTCCCAGGTCCTTGGGTCCAGATGGAAGCTGCATGCAGAATGAGAATAGTGAGGATTTATATACTTTGAGGTTTGCCTCTGACATCCAAACATCACTTTACAGTTGCCAAAATGTGTAGTTCATATTTATGTTTAGTAAGAGGATGTTAGAAGGTTGAACATTTAGGAAGGTTAATTGAATTATAACTTGGCCACACTTTAGGCAAGTTAATTAAATTATAACTTGGCCAAACCTTTATTGGTAATTAAAGATGAGCCTTCAAGCTGACTAATCAGACTTATGTTTGGCCAATGTTATAGCATTTTCTTGCATAGGTTTTAAGATGTACATGTATAAGTTGCATAAAATAATAGAGTTCAAGCATGTAAAATATAACCAAAGTTGTACAATATGATTTGGCATCAATACCATGTTATACTATAATTGTAACTACACTAAAGTAGCTTACCTAAATCAATATGGCTAAATACTAGAGAAAACCTGCTGATCTATGACAGAATAAAAATTAATGAAATGTATTTGAGATCAATTATCAAATCCTGTTCAATCTTTTGCAATTTTTCTTTAAGACCTTTTATAAACTTTGTCTTCATTGCATGACTGAGTTTTGAATATTTCTTCAGTGGAACTCAGTAATTCTTACAAAAAGATTAGCTTTTTCAATTTTTCAATTTTGGTTTTCAGGAATAGTGAAGTTTCCTCTACACTGTGGGTAAGATATTTAGATATTTTAGAACTTGAAACAGGTAACCTTTTTTGAGCATGATACACAATATACATTCTGGCAAGGTATGATTCTTGAATCTTTTCCAATAAAACACTCTAAACATACAGAACATTGAAGTGCTTTGTCATATGGGTAAAAAGATTTTGTTGCCAAAAAAGTCTTGACATGAAAATGATATTCTTACCCAGTGAGAAGTGACAACATAAGTATTTGTTTAAATTTTGTGGTTGTAATTCATATGTGTATAATAAGCCAGATGATAATATTGAATATGTCCCAATATATGATTTGATTCTAACTTCAACCATTTTTTAATGGAAAAGAAAAATAGAAAAGTGTTTTTTTTTTCCAAACGTCTCGTTTTTGAATTTTATAATATATTTCACAATATCTTTTTTCAATTCTTTTTTTTTCTACATCTGTAGCATGATGACTTTGTTGAAAAGGGATTATCATTATTATTTAGGCATATTATTTATGGGACCGGTTGAAAGGGTCCGCAATTGAAAGGGTCCGCAAGAAAAGTAAAGAGACTTGAAAATGTTTTTTTCTTATGAAATCATAAAAAAAGATAAGAAATGAAAAAGATAATGAATGGTTAATTTGTAATAATTTATTTTGTTTCAAACTGATAAAGTAAATGAAAATTTGTTGATTAAATTTATATCGATTTGAAAAGTATAACTTGGAACAAATATCTAAGACTTCTGAACATGGTATCTGCCCAATTTTGAAATTTTCCCATATATCAAAAATCTTCTTTTGCAGATTTACATAAATCTTTTTTTTCAGATAGCATTTTTTGTATTACAGGCACAAGATCAGCTTCTCTTTTTAACTCATCTAGAAGATTATAAAATGATTTGCTGTTTCCAAAATTTAAATTGAATCTGTTATGAAAACCTTCCACATCATTGTTGGTTCTTATAGCAATATCAAAAACAGACCATGAAGAAGGTGGCCATATATAAGTATCTATCCATGTGTTTTCTATATAATTAATCAAATCACCTAGTTTCCTAATGCTATTAAAGTACTCTTTTATTTTGTTAAATTCCTGTGGAATGATATTTGGAGGTAGAAATGGCAAAGCCATTAAAGTTCTCATTTCAGCATATTGACCTGTGTGATTTTTGTAATCTGATGCATATCCTAGTTCCTTTGAAACAAACAAAAAAATTAATATTATACATTTTATTATTAATTTTCAATATCACTTGAATTTTTCTGAAGACTGCTTGGCTCCAATGGAATAAGCAACCTTTTGATTCAGCTGCAGGAAACAATTTTGAGACTGCTTTCCAAAGTGCCTTCTCAAAATCCATTCTTATGGTTTTGGGTGAATAATCACCAATCAATTCTTTTACATTCTGATGAAAAAGGAAAAGGTTAATCTTACATGTATTCAATATCATTTGAAAACATACTTTGAACAAAAGTGAGTATGCTGCTCTCTTTTTGGAAAGAAAGCAGAGCAAAAAGCAATGGAACTTGTTTTATTTCTCCATCTTTTTTCAAAAAACTATGGATTGAAAACATTTGCTTGAATGGTTGATTGACAACTTTAAAGGTGCCATCCATATACCAAATCTTTGATGATGATAATAGTTTTAATTGTTTTGCTGTTGCAAAAACTAACACTCTTTCATTTTGATGTAATAAATCACATTGAAGGAAACCATCAACAATAAAGGAGTGATTAAGTAAAAATGTCAAGGATTCTGGTTCTTTTGGTTGGTTTTTTCTTCTGTGGTAATTAACAACCTGCTTGCAATTTGTAATTTGTGCACTTTGGAATTATAATATAAAGAATTATAATATAAAGACTTTAGATAGATGTTATTTTAAAGGAATTAGAATAGTGAAATATTAGAAAAAACCACTTTTTGATGGAATTAATAACCCAAACCAAAGAAAGACCTTATTTAGTGGAATTAGATGCTTTGAATTCTAGAAAGGATATTAGTTATCACAAAGTATAATTCTCTGAACAAAACAGATGTTGCCACAGTGGTATAAACAATGGAACAAAGAACAGGAAAAAATGCATGTCAAAATTGTTACATCTTATTTAATAACAGATGCTGAAAACTAAGGCTTGTTTTCGAAGTACCACATGCATAACCTATATGATATAACTGTTTTTCATACCTTTGTTGTACATTCATTGTAAGATCGTTGCATTTCAACTTTGCGTTCCTTTCAACAATTGAACCCAAGCTTTGGTAAATGAATAAAAGGAAATGCATTTCCTCAGTTCGTCAGTTCAGTTTTAACTGTTAGCTAGTTGTTTAAACTTGCTTGTTTAGAACTAAAACTCATTATACTCAATACATACTCTTTGCACGAAATACTGGCAGTTCATTGATTAATTTTTGCCAGAATTGCGTTCATTGAGACTACCTGTGGGACAAACTTGAAAGGTTCTATTTGGACCAGTACTTTGGTTTATTGGTAAATGATTGGTGAGGATGAATTCAATCGTAACGAACTCGAGGTTCCTACAATTACCATACAACGCTGTACATAATTTTTGGAAAATTTGACACAGTATCTTGTTGAATATAGGCATCTTCCACAATTCTCAATGCAGATGTCTTTTTTTCTGATTCTGCTCTTTTTTTTATTTGCACTTTCATTTTTGTAATTTGCTTTAGATTTTTCTTTAGTGAATGATTGTGAGGTTTAGAGCCTAATGTAAAGTTACCACCATTTTCATTAACACTTCCAGGACATTTTCCTTTTTTATTTTTGCCACTACATTTCCAAATTCGATTACATTTTCTTGTTTGTTTAACTGCATATGAAAATCCATTATAAAGAAGCAGGGGTTTTCCTTTTTGACTTCCATTTTCAAATATTTCAAAAGATCCATCAGTCAGCAAAATACTCTTTTCTACATCTTCAAATGAACTTTCATCAACCTGTTAAAAATAGAAATGTATATTAATTTATTAATTTATCATGTTTTCACTTAAAGTTCACACATTCATGTTTGTGTCCTCATTTGATTGTACATTTGCAGCAATTTCTTCAATGACACTTCCTTCTCTTTGTGAAACAACTATAATATCTTTTGCAATAGGTACATCAGTATAAAAATATGTGCCAATCTTGTGGTCTTCCAAATCTTCTTGAGGATGGTTTTCATCAGCTATTTCATCACTTGTGATAAGAGAATCAATCATTTCATTGTCAGAAACTATTTGTTTAGCTTCAAATTCCTTTTTGTCACATCTTCTTAACACAATCTTTGCTTGGCAATTTTTAATTGAAACACAAAGTGCACACAGATTGTCTGCAAGAAATAATATGATACATATAAATTTGATTAAAAATGATTTTTAACATACCTTGTAGACAAATCCAATGATTAGTATGCATACAAAGAGAGCATGGCTACTTGGTTGGCAGTGGAGTCTAAAGTTTAGAACAGTAACAAAATGTTAAGTTTGAAAAATTAAAAAAAAAAGTATAATATTGAGGAGTTGCTGTTTTTTCAGGCAAAAGCTGCTATTTTTGCTGTAACAGCTGGCTTCGTTGTATGTGTAGCTCTAGCTGTCAGTCTTGGTATTGTCTTTGGAGTAAATAGAAATAAAGGTAAGAAATTGTGTAAAAATTTGATTCTAAATTTGATTTTCAATTGACTGATTTGATTGTTTCATATTTTTTTCAACAACCAAAGAAAATGAAAATGAAAAGTATAAAAGTTAGAATGTTTTTTTTTTATATATTATTAACTAAATGTTTAAAATTTTCACAATTCTCAGCAACTGTTGAAATAAAAATGATTCTGAATAAAGTGTACAATGAGGCCTACCAAGATGAAACATCACATGACTGAAATTTTGTTGAAAGATATTCATAATGCCATTAATGAAAGTATTAGCACAATTGAAAATTCACCATTGAAAACTTTTTCTAGCATAAACAGTCTAAGGTGCTCTAAAGGTAGCATTATTGCTGATTATGTTGTTGTTTTCAATCAGAGGAGAGACCCTTAGAGAAAATTCAAAAGAGTCATTTGATTCATAGTTTTGAAAGATCTATAGTCAACAGATTTTTAAATTGGGCAAGGTTAAAACTAATCAATTACTCAATTGGGAATATTAAACACAATTTTAAAGATAAAGATACAGGCACAGACAAAAATCCATTAGATGTTTCCTGTGGAAAAATATTTAGTGGAGTAAACAAGAAAATAATTGGCGGTGAAAGAACAAATATTAAAAATGTTCCTTGGCAGGTTCAGTTCAATTCTTATAATTTTTTTTTGATGATAATATTCAATGCAAAAAAAATTGCTCATTTATTTTTTTTTTTTTTGAATTAGACTTTTTTATTAATCAAAAGTGAAGATAAATCTGTTGCTTGTGGAGCAATTATAATCCATCCATACTATTTATTATCAGCAGCTCATTGTGTTAAGAGAATTGAGTAAGAAAATATTTTTTTTTTTTAAATGTAAAACTGATAAAAATTTTTTATCTTTTTATAGAAAATATATTTTTCTAGCTGGAATTGATGATATTAATAAATTTTCCCAAAATAATACATTCTATGCTGAAAAAGTTTGGATACATGAACAATACAATACAAAGACTTTTGAAAATGATATTGCACTTTTTAAAATCACTAAAGAAGTTCAATTTAATAAATATATTCAACCTATTTGCTTACCTGAAAGAGATTATGGAACAAATAACAATTATCATTGTGCAGCTAGTGGATTTGGAAGAATAAGTCCAACGAGTAATTTTAAATAAGAAAATCCATTTTATCAAGAATAAAATAAATTTGTGTGTTTTAAATATTAGGATCAACCACCAAACTTTGGTCAATTTCTGAAATCCATCAAATCAGCATTCTGCGAATAAAATCTTACTTATTTTACAATACTATCAATTTAGATCGACCTGATTGATTTGTCATAATTACTTAATAGACGTCTAAATTCATAATATTGTAAAAAAGAAAAAGAGAAAAACCAATGATTAAAATATAGATATTTTAAAAAAATTTGCTTGATGTTTCCTAAGTCATCTCTCTCTTACAGAAAAAAATATTCCTAACCTTAAACTGCATTTGTCAATCAAGATATTTGGATTATTAGACATTTTTACTCTTGTTATAATTATTTAATATCGCGACTGTATTACATACATCTGTATTTGTCAATTGCAGGAAATTTTGACTCTTCACAACAGTATTTGTCCTTTCCAATCATTTAATAATTTGTCAAAGTACTAGCCCAATAAGAATTTCAAGTTTGTCCGCAAAATACTAACCTTTAGAATTAATTCAGTTTTCAATAATACACATCTATTATAGAAAGTTCAGAGTTTTTTCCAATAGAATATGTATATGTATATTTAACAAGAGATTGAAATTAAAGTCTATTCAAAAGTATTTTTATGGCTAAATAATACAATTATTCAAGGTCAAGGACAAATGAAAGTGAAATAGTTTGCACATATACTGATTTAAAAGGTAATTGATTTAAATTTCTTATATATTTTTAGAAATAAATTTTAATATTTTTGTTTTAAAGAGATAAAGAAAATTTCAGAGGAAGTTTATTCAAAAGAAAATGGAAATGAGATAAAAAGATGTTGGAGGCAGTAACAGGCATTCAGTCCTGAATCAACTCTCCTTTCTAAGTGGCTTACTCCTAATTCGGTTCTATTTGGACGAGTACTTACCTACAACCCCACAAGGAAAGTACAGTCTTCTAAAAAGAAAAGAGCATATAAACTACTTTTCCAGTTAAGAATTCAATTTCATAAATATATTTATTGATGAGTATTAGTGTTAAATTTATAAGGCAATGAAGGACCTGGCTGAAAATTTGCTCTCCCAGAAAACTTGTTTTAGACTACGAAAAGGCTGTTTGGAAAGCTTTACAAACTGTATGGCCTGATGCCATAATGATTGAATGTTCATTTCACTGGTCTCAACCAATATTTAGAAAAATACAAGTTCATTAATTTCAAAAAATGTTCAATTTTTAAATCAATATATGTTTCATTTCAGGAATTTGGTTAAAGCAAAGAATTTCAAAAAAAGAGGAAGCTTGGGAATGCATGAAAATGATCATGTGCAGACTAGCCTATTAAATGATTGATAATAATTGTTTAAAGGTTCGAGTGGAAGCAAACCGCATAAATTTGCCAAGCAAGAGCAGTACATTCCAAAACATACTCTATCAATGTGACAATAGATTGTAAGAAATTTTATTGATAAACATCCAAAAAAGTTAACTTTGTTATATTAAAAATCCTTTTCATTGTAAATTTCAGTTAATAAAGTAAATTTTTTTGTAATTTTCTTTTTCTTTGATATACACATCAATTGAAAATAATTATTATCCTATGAATAATAAATTACTTACCTTTTCTTTTAAAACAAAAAAAAAAGCACATCCTGTTGTTAATTTTCCTTTTTTGCTGATTTTTAGAGAAAGTTTTTATAAACTAAACCATAGTAACAGTATTGATTAATTGATTACATTAACTTTTTGGTAGTGATCAGTTATAGTTGTTTCAGCATCTTTTGTTCAGATCTACTTTGTCAATAGACAAGGATTGTTGAAATTAACAACTTTTTTGTCTTGTCAGCTTTTCCAGGTAAGTTGGAAAAATGCTTTAATTATCACAATTCTAAGTTTGCTACGTAAGTGAGACAGACAATAAAAAGAGAAATATTGCTTTTTTAACTAGATATTGAAAATTAGAAAAAAGTAAATGTCATTCAGAGTTTCAATGCAGAGAATGAATTTATTCCTGTTCATCATTTGCATTCTATCAATGCAATATGTGGTTAGTGAAGGTAGAGTAATTAATGTTTTTTGGCAGTAGAAGTCTTTGAATAAATAATTTTTTATGTAGAAAATGTTACGGTGTGCGACTATCACTTAATTACAGAGAATACAACTATACCTAAAGGTACAAATATTACTATAAGTACACTGCATGGACGTTTTGTCACTTTAAATGAATGTAGAAGTCGATGTTGCATGAAGATTTCTTGTACGTGAGTAAAGAGGGAAGTGTATTTTGCTAAATGCTTTGTACCAGTTTCTAATTTATTCAGATCATTTAACTATTGGTCTTCAGGATTCTGTGAAATGTTTGCACTGAACACAATTTTTAGTCAATTGAAGACCACTGACAATTTTTCCTATACATATTATAAAAAAGGCAATTGCTTTAAATTACTACAATTTTATAAATTTTAGGTATGATGACAATATTGTAAAGGGTTAGGAGCAATCAAAAAGGTTAAGGAGATACAAGGGCTAGGTTAGGGTTAGGGTTAAAAAGTGGATTTGGGGACGTATTCTGTCGTATCCATTGCAATCATACCTAAAATTTAAACTTCATTTTTATCAAATTCATTAATTTATAAAAACAAATGAAACACACAAAACAAATGGCTAATTAACTAGGAAAAGAAGAGTTATTCTGATAATTACAACAATATAATATAATTGGTTTTGATATTTTATTTAATTTGTTTTTAATCCATATATTTTCAAAATCTGAAATGTCATATCATAATATCCTATTGGGCATTAGCGTGATTATTAATTTCCATATATTTTCTCCCAATTTCCCTTGTTAACCACAAATCTAAGGAAAATTTCATAGAATCAGAAGACAATTGGAAGAATAGCATTTTTTGCCATTTTCTTGGAATGCTAGTGATATTGTGCTTCTATATTTCATCCTTAACTTTACTCTTCATAACTATAGACAGATGCGCAACTATTTGCCAATCCAGTATTGACTAACAATCCTGATATTGCGCACGCACTAAGCTTCATTTGGCCTAGGGTTAGTGCACAATTTCCTATTTTATTCTCTCTATAAACTCTTGAATTATCTTATAATCTTGAATTTGGTAGTAAGTTTAATACAATTCTCCAAGGACTCAAATCGGTTACAGAACTAAACTGCCAAACTGGGGAAATGTATTGCCTTTTATACATTAGTATGCCCATTTTTTTTAATTTTTTCATAATTTAGAGTAAAAATCAATGTGCAATATAGATTTTTCAAAGAAACGTTGATAATTTCCATTTGAGAGTAGATGACTTTTGTTTGGCTTAAGAAGGTTGACAGATGTTCAATGAGAATCATGGTTAATGAACAAACAAGATGAAAGATTATCAACATTAAAAGTGTCAGTATCACCACAAGAATTAGCATTTTAACTAGAACATTTGATAGATTGACAGAACAAGCAAGTGATGACAATGGTAATGGAGAAAAATAATAATTTTTTTACAAGATAAAACTTCATTATCAATAGTTATCATAAACTTCTGATACGTTGCATATCTATGAAAGTAAAACTTTTAACATCACTCTTAACATATATGAATTCTGTTGGAATATTTTTACAGAAAAGGCATCCAGATATTGAAAATGTCTCCAAGCACCATGAGCAGACAACCATGTGACTGCATGGAATCATCAATACATTTGCTATTCTTGACAAACACAGTTTGCAATTCAACACTCTGCTGTTTTCTTCATATTTTACTCCTTCGTCGTGTAAGCTGAAAGTTTCATTACTCAATCAAAAAAAATGCGATTTAGATATACACAGAAAGATATTGCTGAGTTTAAAAACATTATTATTCACTATCTATTCAATCAAAAATTAGGGGACTAAGCTGCATAAATCAAATAGGAAACTATCTTATTATAATTATATCTTTGGTTATTTAAAGATGTTCTGTGCACAAATGTAGATGATCTATGGAGGGCAACTTAAAATTAAAGAAATTTTTACCAATTAAAAGTAGTTATTCTGTATAGCTTAATATCTAAACTAAAAATTTTACAAGGTGGCTGGGTACTTTTTGCCTATAATGTATATATAATATCAATGATAGAATCAAGGACAAGGAAACAAGAACCTGGAAACTTGAAAGAGAACAATGATATCTATTCAAACCTTTATACCTAGACCAACTGTATTAATTGCAACAGAAGCAAAGGACGAATGATGATAAATCAGATTCAAAGAAAACCCTGCAATAATAAATCTTGCAATAGTGGATTTTACCTACACAGTCGAGGGATGCTGGCCAAAAATCTATTGCATAATGGCTTGGATCCTAAAATTCAAGATTAATTCTCATCTATCCAGAGGCAAACATTCAAAGGAAAAAAAGATATCAACTAGGTTTATCACAATGATTCTTATTAAAAACTGTACAACCTGATTATTTCGTAACTTATGGAAAATCAATACTACATTTCTGATCATGCATGATGGAAAATGTCCACAAATGAGATATTTGGATATCAGATTTTGGGTTGAAATAATAGATGAAAGGTATAAAAATGGTTAGAAAAATAAAGTGAATTTTAAAAATTCAGTTAAAATTGGTTAAAAAACTGCATATTGTAGTTGTTTTTTCTTAAAAATAGGACAAAACAAAAATGATTAACTTGCCTCATTGATGAAGATGTTTGTCGCAATTAGGTATTTGTGAGTTATTTACTATTATTATTAAATAGAATCCTATTTGAGAATTGAACAGATTAACAGTTTTGTTATTCATATGATGCCACGTTGGCAAAGCTTATCAGTTAGAACACTCATCATATTTGTACTGCGTTGTACAGTAATTGTAGGAATCTCGAGTTCGTTACGATTGAATTCGTCCTCACCAATCATTTACCAATAAACCAAAGTACTGGTCCAAATAGAACCTTTCAAGTTCGTCCCACAGGTAGTCTCAACGAACGCA